CCCCCCCCCTCCTACGAAAAAATATCAAATATTTGAGTTCCCCTCCAAGACGTCATTCGTACCCTATACCAATAGCTTGCGAATCCTTCATGTTCTAATTTGGTCTCGAGGACCTAATTTGGACCTGAGGTTCTAATTTGGAAGGGGCCAAAGTGCTTGGTCCAGAGTTTTAGTTTGGTCTGAGGACCTAATTTGGACCTGAGGTTCTAATTTGGAAGGGGCCAAAGTGCTTGGTCCAGAGTCTTAGTTTGGTCCTGAGGACCTAATTTGGACCTGAGGTTCTAATTTGGTAGGGGCCAAAGTGCTTGGTCCAGAGTTTTAGTTTGGTCCTGAGGACCTAATTTGGTCCTGAAGTCCTAATAGGGGAAGGGCCAAAATGCCTGGTCCAGAGTCCTAGTTTGGTCCTGAGGTCCTAATTTGGTAGGGGCCAAAGTGCCTTGCCATGATTTTACAGGGTAACGATACCCGGTACCAGGTACTAAAAGCTGCCTTACCTATATCATGTTATTCTAACATCACTATAACTGATTTTCTTTCTATGGTTGTAGGTTTAGTGCGAGATATTTGCTGTTCTCCCGATGGTCGATGGGTAGCTTTGGGATTCACATCGGGGCTGGTATCCGTACTTGATGTACGTGGTGGGTTACTACGCAGTCAAAGACGAGCACATACCAGTGATGTAGTCCAAGTGAGTCTGTTTAATATGAACGGTAATCCCTCTCCCATACTAGTGATGTAGTCCAAGTGAATCTGTATCTATAATACACTAGTGATAATATGAACGGTAATCTCTCTCCCATACTAGTAATGGAGTCCAAGTGAGTCTGTATCTATAATACACCTTGCACAATCAAAGAAGTGGTAATATGAACGGTAATCACCAACTAAGGACACGACAATGCGCAACAAGATACTCTAATTTGTTGCCATTTTTCTCAAGTCTGTGGTCTGTTTTATATCAATTTTGTACAAAGTTGATTTCTTCCCCACAGAAAAAAGGCCTTAGCCTGATGAGACGCTTTTCCGCGGCCAAAACAAAAATCCTTCTTTTTCTTCATGAGATTTGTGTCATTTCTCCATTTCGCCAGTAAGCCTCGCATCCAAGATAAGGGGGTTGTTGTTTACTTCATGTCCCATAGCGAGCATGCGCAGTAAGCAAATGCTCTGGGTACGAGATTGAGTATATATCTCCTACACGTTAATGCGCATGTGCACTAATTTAAGTGCCGTGATTGGTTCCCAGGTACGTGCGTTTTCTAACAACTCACTTCTAACTTCATCAATGGACCAAGGACTATCTCTCTGGAAGGATGACGGACTGAGGCTAAAGAATATCAAAGGTTTAGTGAAATACATTCATATGAAAGCTATTTATAGCTGTTGGGGCATTAAATAATAAAAAGTGCTTCAGATCAGATGTTATTAAAAATCTCCCAATCTCTTCCCCCCTGATTTTTCTGTAGGTCACACAGAACCGCTTCACCTCCTCATCGTCCAGAAAGACTACATATTATCATCAAGCATAGCTAATCGTATAGGCGTTCACATAACAAAAGATGAGCCTACAGAGGTTAGTTGGTACTTTATATCTTTTCTTCTTACTACACCGGAACTGGAAATGAAAATTTGACGGGAACCGGAAATGAAATTCGTTTTGACCGGTTGATGAATATATGGGCTCTCATTCTGCACCTTGGAGGTCTTATAAGATAAGGTCAAAACGATTGTCATCTTACGGAACCCAATCTATATGAGAGGTAAGGTTATCTAGTACGCACCACCTCTGCAAGTAAGTTGACACCCTAGACACGCGTACCAAAAATACATTTAACTCTGTTTATGAATGCTTATCTGTGCGCGCCTTTCAATAGGTGAAAGTGATGTTTATAAAAATTCAGGTTGCAATGTTAACTGTTAGGTTTTATTACTTTTGGATTGCCCGATAATTTCCGGCTGATAATCAAATAGCAATAGACCAAAATAAAAGACCTCATCATACGTATATAGAGCAATATATAAGGCCAACAAGTTAATATATAGGGTTAACATATCGCTTATTGCCGCAAGCAAAATTCCTGGCGGTCTGGCCATTTCATGTTCCAAGAAGACTGCGATAAGGTGAATATTTAACTCAATTATTCTCAACGTAGTACAAATTTGACATCTGAATCAAAGGTAGCTTCAAGTAACCGTCCCCTATAGCGAGTTTCTCCGCACGTCTCTTAACATATGCCTAACGCTAATTTGATTGGTTGATAGGGATCGTACATCGGCTACAAGCTGTCATCTGAGGTATTGCGTGGGAATGTGACGTCACTTGGTTATCTCCAACTCAACCAGCTGTTGTTGCTAGGAAGCGATACAGGCAATATTACTCTGTGTGCATAAAGATATGTAGTAGTATCGATTGCATACCATTTATTCGTGAAAAACGTTTTAAGAAATTGCACAAATTTGCACAAATTAGTAAGTTCAGTAGATCTCAGTACACCGTAGACCTACAAAACTTTGCACTATTTTGTACAATTTTGTTAGTTTTCACGAATATATGGTATGCACTTTATTTTGTTAGAAATATCTACATAGACATTTGCCGGGAAGGGTATGGCTACAAATATAATTCCACAGGAACCTCAACCACGAAACATTCTGGTTGTTGTGTTTCGCTGTGGGTGGTTTTCCAAGATGGCAATGATTTAGACATCGTTCCTTGATACCTATGAACAAACTATTTTTTCTCCTTTGGACAAGCTTTAAACTATTAACCTTCAGTAAAGGTTATTTCTTTGTTAAACTGCATTCATTTAAGAGACTTTTTTATCTAGTAAACAATCAGCTAAAGATTAAAGCGAAGCCGAAACAGCTGAAAACTGACAGAAATAGATGGCGGAAGTGATTATCTTTAACAATTCAAAATCAATAGAAAAATAATATCTTAAAGATATCTTTGGAATAGATTTATTGTATATTTTTGAAATGCTTGGTATTATGATTTTTTTGATATTTTACATTTTATACTTTATCATTATTTTTTCAATTAGGAGGGTTTGATTTGCTGTTGTTGTTGTTGTTGATGATGATGATGATGATGATGATGATGATTCTGAAAGATTTTAATAGAATAACCAATTTTTGTCTCTTGTTTGTAAAACAAGACTACTTACAAAAAAATTATATAAAAACCGCCTTTTTTAAACATCGGTTGTTTCGCGGCAAAACAACAAGGATCGGATGAAGACTGGAAATGTAATTTTTACTGGAAGACTTTTGAAAAAATTTCGTGTCAATCAGAGATCGATGGTTATCTAGAAAGAATCTCAAACATGCTGCACTTTATAGGTTTTCCTATCTCACTTCACGACTTTCAACCAATCAAATCCCAAACATACTGCACTTTATAGGTTTCCCTATCTCACTTCATGACTAACATGCTGCACTTTATAGGTTTCCCTATCTCACTCCAAGACTTTCAACCAATCAAATCCCAAACATACTGCACTTTTTAGGTTTCCCTATCTCACTTCACGACTTTCAACCAATCAAATCCCAAACATACTGCACTTTATAGGTTTCCCTTCTCACTTCAAGAATTTCAACCAATCAAACCCAAACATGCTGCACTTTATAGGTTTCCCTATCTCTCAAAACTTTCAACCAATCAAATCCCAAACATGCTGCACTTTATAGGTTTCCCTATCTCACTCCAAGGCCTTCAACCAATAAAATCCCAAATATACTGCACTTTATAGGTTTCCCTATCTTTCTTCACGTCTGTCCATCATGGCATCATTGTCAGACATGCAGACGCATGCAATCAGCTTCCATTTTATAGTTGATTGAAATCCATATCTAAAACGATTGTAAATATCTCAAAGGCATGAAATTATTTTTACGGTAATGTTTTTCGAAATAAACTGAGAAATTGGTATATAATGTATATAGAAATTGAAAAATTATCTACAAAAAGTTGTTTGGCAAATAAAAAAAAGCTTTTTCAGGAGAAATTGGAAGTAGATGCTGAAACAAAGCAAAATAGAGTAATGATATCAAACAAAAAGTAAAATTTCACGCTTTTTCTATTGTTGAGACAATAATAAAGTATTTGACTTAAAAAAGCCCGAATAATTGATCTGCCAGTTTGTTCCGGTAATAGCGCAGCGCACTGATTCTAAAAATAGCTTAAAGATTCGGACAAACATTGCATTCTGTTTAACTGCTACGAGGATTATACGAACCGATTTTATTATTTTTACTTAAAGTTACAATAATAACCCATGTAAACTAAGATCAACTGCGATCGGCTGTGAAAATTATCTGCTGAAAGTAAACTTGTAACTTTGTCCGAATTTCGCCTTTGTCTTCGTTTTTATGACGTCATGGTTGCGCTGCGCTATTCAGTGCAGACATGATTCCTTTTCACGGAGAAATAAAGAGAGAAATGTTCACCGGTGCCGAGAAAGAAAGGAAAAAATCATCATTTAGGAAACTATATTGTTATGACGCGAGGGAGACTTGTTGTCTAGAGCTTGACGTGAATGGTAGAATATTTGAAAACTTCACTCATGGATTATGCGATTTGTTTCAGGAAGTAAACGGTGAATACAGACTTACTACCCTCCCTCCCCTCCCCTGTCTCAAACATATCGGCTTATAGTATCCACTAGATTCGATCTGTTCCAGATTTAAAATCCATTAACCACGAAATACCCAACTCAGATACGATTCATTTATCAGTAGTCGCTTAGGGTCTGATATTTTTTATGGTGATATCCATCTGATTCATGTTGATTCATGACTAGAACTCTGGATTTTCTCAAATGGATTTTTCCAGCAACATTTAACGTCTTAAAAACTTAACAGGCTAAAAGACTCCAAAAGAACCCTTTACAAGCGTCACTTAGTTGCCAGAGGCTACTAAATGCCCTCTCGGTGTCAGCTTGACCATCAAACCGGCTCCCTTTTATTAGTCTATTAATTTCAAAGTAGTTTCATCGCTCGTTGTGTATAGAAAATGCGGAAACAAGATCTGGAGATGAGGGATCACATGCATGCGCCCGGATTATGCGACGTCGGCTTGAAGTGTGCGGAAAATAAAACCGTCTCATCCATATAGTATGGATTCGATCGGGAAATACCCTGACTTGTTAAATCACTCGATAAAGCAACCTTTCGGATGAAGATTTAAAAATCGACCAGGTGGATATGTCGGGTTTTGGACTAGAAATGATAAGTTAGGCTTCATAAAACGTTGGGTATTTAGGGAATTAACCAAGGTCACTAAGCGAGAAAGTGAAAACAGCCGTTTTATACCAATCAATTGCAGTACTTTATTTATAGCTAGAAAAAATCATCCGAAAGTTGCTAAAATGACTTGATATTCAAATACTCTAGGCGTTTAAAATTCCTCCCTTGCTTTTGGAAAACAGTTTGCAAACGTAGCTTTTACTTCGTTTTGCTTGGAAGAAAACAATAAGATAGGATGGTTCCATGGAAGACTAAATGTTCAGTCCTTGAATGTGCTCAGTAGAATAAAACTGATTAAGCGCATTTGATCATATTCACATGTTAAAGTCGCGCTTTATAAATATTAAAGATTACTATTATTATTAATCTGGTTTAGCTATAAAATGCAGGAATTATGCAGAAAATAGAGCGGGGTTTTTTGAACCCCCATTGAATCTCCCAGATCTACCGCTGTGTAAGGAGAGTTGTCAAAAGATTTTTATCAACTTTGTGTTAAAGTGTGAGAGCCGAGCAGCCAAAGCTGGCAAGCATAAAGGTTTTTGACTGACCCCAACGAAACATATGCTTGATAATGAGATGAAAAGCTAATCAGTAAATGTTCATCATGATAGACTCTTAAATCTTTCGCATCCTTAATTAGTATCAAATGTGTGTCCTGCAAATGAGCTAAACATGCTTGTTCCCATGCTTTAAGCCTGCGTCGCGAAGCTAACTATCTTTAACATCAGAGCACGTCCTACACGAAAAGGAATTCAAATATTCAGCGGCGAAGAGAGACAAAGTTATCAAGGAACGTTGAAGAAAAATATTGGAAAAATCGCGAGGCAAAGAGGGTCAGTAAATGGTAAGTTTTAAACTGCGCGTACTCCGCTTAGTATGAAGAACACAAATGCTATCTTCCATCAACTCGAACCGAACTCTAGGACAAGGTATTTGGGTACTGTGGAAGAAGAACTGAAAATGATTGTTGAAATCGTGTCGGAACATCAAGCCTTCGACATCCGATTCACGATGAATAAGTGTTTAGGATTCCATTCGATTATGTAGTTCATGATTCGCCTGGGGGCTTGCTCAGATTACAGATTCCATTTGAATTATTTCAGATATTCAGATTGTCATGCAATAGGTCTTATTGTATCGATAAAACTATCCAGCGACTATAGATTGAGAAATCCTAAATCTAGTCTTATATCGGCTAAGCACCCTATATGATATATAGAAAAAGACTAATGTTCGCCTATCGTTCACATGGTCATTCGGCGAATATAGTGCAGGTGCACGTGATCAATCGGAATATATTTTTATCTCAAACAGCTAGCTTCAATTCCCTAAAATACGTTTTCATCAAGCCGTTAATTTCATATCAAAAAACAATTTTTTTTATACGTGGTAAAAGATCGATCGGCAGTTGGTCAGCTTTAATGATCGAAAAAGGCTTGAATAGGATTTTCAGATAACACTCGTTTTGACAGACAGGTTAGGCCTTCGCATAAGGCTTGTATTTGTAAGCTCAATCAGGGTAATTACGGTGCTTTCTTAGAACCTTAATTAATTGGTCGAGAGGGAAAATAGTATCCAATAGATCAACCGACAAATCAATCAATAACCGATGCATGCCATCTGCTACAAACTACTTTCTTTTTAGACTAGGAATCAAAGTATGTGTCGTTCTCAAGATTCTTTCTCAAAAGGCTGCAATGTCAATCGTTGAAGCCATACACTGAAAATTTTGGAAGCCAAGTCTTGTGAACTAAAACGAATTTTCTATTGTTTTTCCCCCACAGAAACTCAAGTCGAACAGTCCACAATCTGATACCAAAGTTTCTAATTCGAAGAAAGAAAATCTTAGAGACACAAGAACAGGTTAAGTTAAGTGATAATATAAAAAATGTTTTAGAACTAAAGTTGATTTTAGAATTATTTTCTTCTATTTTTATTTTTATTTTTTATAATTATTATTATTATTATTATTATTTTATATTTTTATATTTTTATATTCATATTTTATCGTATTATTTTGTAATTTGATTGCCTCGGTTAGGTTTTGCTGTTAGCAAATCAATATAAATCGGTTAAATTTTTTACAAATTTTAGAAATTTTAATAAACATCAAATACTAGGATCCCTTATATAATATTAAATAAATCTAAAAGTAAACAAGCTTAAATCTTGAGGTATTTTCAATTTATGATTAATTTTAGACGGAATATCACGGACAAAAATCCAAAAAAAACAGCAATCATTATGAAGTTCAACTATTTTTAAAAATTTTTGCACTCTTTCTTTTTATAATTGTGCAAAAAGTTTATTTGAATTTTTTTACACTGTAAGGTATTTTTGATTAAGTCTTTCTTCTTTTTAATGACAAATTACCTGCTTAAATGATTTTCTTTGATCCAGCGCCCTCATTAGTATAATAGTGTTGACAAAATACCTTTAAACTCGACATATAACTCGTTTAACTAAACTGGACCATTTAATATTATATAAACATTCTGCTTTATTAGTTTAGAAATTATGAAATGTTTTGAAGCAACCTAATGCAGTTTGTATTGAATGATTTTTTAACAGCAGTTTACTATTACAGCCTTTGGCAAAATGTCTTTTTTCTTGTGAAGTATCTGTACATTTTTCATTCGTATTATTGAACTACTGCAATTTGGCTACAAACTGTTAGAAGGCAGTTGTCAAAAAATACAATTTTTAGCGTACTAATTCATCGACGTATTATGAACTACGAAGAAATTGTTTACAAGGAAAAGATACTTACACGTCTAAAATGTTTACTGATGAAGCATATGTATCTCTCACACTAACCTTAAGCAGAATCATTTAACCTTGTGGATAGTAAGTGTTTTTAAAGCTATTATATGTGTATCATTCAACAATATACTAGTTTTGTGTTTCATTGCTGTATTTATTTCTTCGATATATCTCACGCACATTTTATAATTAATTACTAAAATAAATACTTTGATTCATATAGATTATGATTAAAGGATAGTTCTAAGAAATCCAGCTAAAGTCTAATTCCTCCCTTTTTAAGTAGTGTCAAGTATATATCATTTCTTGATTCATACTTGAAGAAATTCTCAGACTAGCCGACGTCAGGAATTGAGAATGGTACAACTCTAGTCTTCTGTGCGTACAAATATTGAAAAATATTGATTTATCTTTTAAAAGCCTTTAAAAATATATCTATTTAGAAATATTGCGTTGAGATTACAGGTATTTTAGAAAGAAGAGTACTCAATACTCAACAGTTTGGGTGTGCATGATATCTGAAATATCACAGTTCATTTGTTTCATGGGAATGTTGTAAGTCAATAAAGGTTCTTGTTAGCCAATCAGCATTGAACTATTATATGGCTTCCTCCAACTTTTAATAGCGAATCATAATAAAGGGTCTTGATAGCCAATGAGCATCGAGCTGCTGATAACTTCCTCCAGATCGTTTGCCAATAGCCAATGAGAGGGGCGGGGGTTTCAATTGAGTAGTGCATAAAACGAAAAGGATTTTTTCTAAATGTAATGGCAAACACATATCGTAAACACATTGGTCGTTTAAAAGTTTCATTAGCTCACGATCAGATGGTCTATAAATGAAGATCCTTTGATTACAGTACCTTTTTTAATGATTTACAGCGGTGTAATCTTTTCGTCCTCCATCCTTTTTTCCCCAGATCTTAAACTAATACCACAATATGTCCATTGATTTTAGCGTGAAACTTTTGCCTACGAATTCGAGATACGAGTTACTATTTTGATTTTCTTCCCGCATTATACATGATTTCAGTTAAGTGAGTCGGAAGCGGCTTTTAAATTGCTCTCGTCAGTGTTCAAGCAATGTGATTCTCTTCGATTGATTGATTGATTGATTGATTTAGTGTGGCAACCATTTGAGTGTCATGGTGCGTCCTTCGCGGAACTGAGTTTCCCAGTCGTGACAAAACTGCGACAGTTTTCAAATATCACGATGTAACTAAAGTATTCAAGCATTTGGAAGAATGACACACTGTGCGGTTGCTTGGAAGCCATTTTAGTGTCAAGAACGGACGGGAGAGCTTCCCGCTCGGCTCATATATGCAATAAAACCTACTCTAAAGCAGTTAGTATAGAATTTTCATATCAGATAACGAGTTCTGTAGTAATCAATGAATAGATGATAGTCCGTATGCGCTTTTAATATCTTAAATTCTTGGATGCCATTTGAATGTCACATAAACAAAGTTACATGGTCAAAGAAAACCTGATCTAGACCAGTTATATAATCGTATCTATTTGTGATTCAGTGATTGGTTTGCTCCATCTCGCAATGGAGCATGCGCAGAGAAATATTATAATATAAGTGGAAGCCATTTGAGTGTCGAGAGAGTTTCTCGATAAGCATTTTCCATTATAACTATAGATCTGCTCTTGAGCCAAAAAGTCAACATAATTTAAGTATAAAAATCTTAAATTGTTACTTGAGGGAAAAACGGAAAATTTCTTCGCCATTAAATGGTTCTCTCTAGCTTGGAACTCTTGTGGATTTGGCGGGAACGTTTGACAATAAAGCAAGCGCGCTTCCCCCAAAACGCTTGGTACACTCACTACGCCGCTAGTATGCACATGGTTTTCATGTGTCGGGACATTCCCAGACGATCGGGAATAACTCCAAGTCTCCGCTCGTCTTGGACGTGCGCACGCAGGCAGGAAGTCGTTGCTAGAGGAAGATGAGTATTGAGCGTTGAGTTTCTCGTTTCGCACGCCCTCACAGAGGATAGATTTCGACTCATTTTGAAACTGTCGGTGCGGTTCTGTTTTTTTCCGCCTACGAAATTCCCAGAAAGACGGGATTCGGTTCACGGAGTGTAAAATATAACTGTAATCGTAGTAGTGACCCCAGTGGACTTGGAATTTTCCCTGTGTGTGCGTAAGGGGGAAGGAAGGGGGGTGTAGTATGCAAAAAAATAATAAATAGAACAAACAAATAAGCACTGATTAAACTAACGAAAAGAGAAAGGGCGAGTGAGAGTGAAAGAGAAAAAGAGAGAGAGCGCCCTCCCGCAACGGAAGTGTAACAGGGTTTTTCAATTATTTTGGCAATGTAAACCTCGACACCCACGTACACACCCCAGGCATATGTTTTATAAAAGTTTTTCCTGCGGAATTTAGATTATATCGCGTAATGTGAGTCAAACGATGTTTCAAGTGCTTGACTAAAACACTTGTGATTCACTGCTAGCCACGAAATCCCACAACCTGCACTTCAACGTATTTCATTCTTTTATTTTTCGCAGTTTTATTAACGTCATATATAGAACCAACCTCTAGCTTTAGAGTTTTTGGCAAAGATTTGGTTCCAACAGTGAATATGTCCTTAAGGTTATTACTTTACGCCCAGGGACACAAGGTATATTGTTCGCGCTGGAAGAAAGTATTCTAAAGTGTCATTGATCTTATCTTCATGTCGACGAATGTCATTGATCACGGAAAGAACACAAGAGATATCTTCTTCTCCCGCGCGGAGCCCTCTCCAGAAACCCAATACACAACATCAAAATGTATCTAAAAATCGTATTCAAGAGCCTTATTTATCGTTTTCATCGCGGTAGAGTTGGACTAGCTTTTCTAATTTGGATGTTAGTTTTGATTAACGGAGATATCGCACCTCGCGCTTAAGGTAAGACTTTTCAGTAAAACTCGAAATCAGATTATTATTTTAATCTTACATATAAATAAGTGTATCATAGAAGGACGGATCTTATATATCACTTCCTCTTGCACAATACTATTTTTTGTGTTTCTATAACCAGAGAAAAGTGAATTCTCTAATTAGAAATGAGTTTAGACGGAGGCCTGTTCAAATTGACTTCGCGGTAAGTGCAGACAAAATGAAGGTACAAATTACCGGCTTTATATGATATTATAGGCATCGAAAATATATTAAAGAGAAACCAATTCGTTTGACTAACAAACCCTAACAAGCCAATTGTCACATTTAAAACACATTCAATTTATGACTCTTTTTAAGTTATTAGTAACTCTACTCTTTGTTAACTGTTTTTAATTAATAATTCGGCCATTTTCAATTTTAAAACTAGGATTCTACATTTTCATGTATTCCTGGCGCGACAGAAATTCAATGACAAAAACTGAACTTGGTCTAACCAAGCTGCCATCTTTAAATGTTTAAGTTAAAATTCCCAGCAGTAGTTCAGTGACCCTGAAGACATTTTCCTTAGCAAGCGGTGTAGTGAACACGATTATCCCCCTCAAATTGTCTGCGCACTCGAATACTGAGAGCACTCTTATGATAGCTTAACAACTTGAAAGCATAAAATGAATACCATTCATAAAGTTTACATTATTTTACCTTAACAATTTACCCGATTCTGAAGATAACGTACAATAGGTGAATAAGCAGAAAGAGAACGAAAATGTGATGTGCAAAGATTAGCAGGCGAAAAACCAGAAACTCGAAAATACGGATGAAAATGAAAGGTAATGTTAGAGTGGAAATTTGCTAATAAAATTTCATCTACCACTTGAATTATTCTCTCCTACATATCCGGTAAATTTGTCGTCCAGTGTGAATGCAAATATATGAATCAGCTGTATTTTAAGTAGCAGAAGTTGTGTACATGACCAAGCACGCCCTCAATCTCGGAACATCTGATAAGTGTACTTGTGTCGTTAATACTACTTATGAACTCGATAAAAAAACCTCATCACACTTTCTCAGTGTCGTGTGCAGAGATCAATCAGTATTTAATTCTCTTTTGATCTTAATTCAAACATCTCTTCTACATTGTCGAGCATTTCTGCATCAAAAACATTTACCGGCTTAAGTGTACAACGCGGTTTTGCTATCCAAACAAGTTCTTTAACCGTCCGTCATTTTTGGGTCAATCTTATTGGCATACGGAAATGATTTGAAAAGATTCGGTAAGTACATGAAGCGACGAGTACTATGTGTTTCTAGATATAGGATGAGATAAAAAGAGATTTAGAGGAGAAAGTTTTAATTACAAAACACCTAGAAGAGCTTTTTCAAATAACGAAGGGTACTGTCAAGTGACTCTCAAATGGGTTCCAGTCTAAGCCAATCACAAAGCTAGAAAACACAAACAATCCAATCAGAGTAAGAAAGCCATTGTAGTGTCGCAGCACTCAACCTTTTCAACTTTATTTATGTTTTGACTTAAAAATTCGGTAGAAAAAAATAAAAGTAACTCTAAGAAAAGTTTAGTGAAATTAGTAATGCAAGTGCAACGTTTTTGAATAACACACTTAACAGTCTCAAGGGTTTCCTGAGTTTATAAACAATTCACACATTTTCGACTACATTGACAATACCTCTTCAGTGCAGTGTCAGTGAAAATGTTATTGTAAAACATATAGAAAGTAATAAAGAAATTCTTAGTCAGTACTTGAGTGCGCAGAACAATACTTTCGTGGGTAGTTTGTCCAAGATTTTTATTTTTAGAAAACATAGTTTAAAACTTGAATAAACCAACAAATGAACAAACAAGCAATATACCGTGAGAAGGATGTGGAGTATTCAGAAGTTTTGAAATAATCTCTTTTTTTATAGCTTCCCTAATATGTTATAGCATTATTATTTCGTGACCTGAAAATGGAACAAAATAAGCCCGAAATTACTTTAAAGAAAGTTTTTAAGATTAAACTGAAAAAATGCAGTTGATCGGCATGAACGGGAGAAAAATCCTGGAGAACTGAACCGTCCATGAATTTCAAGACAGAACTGATTTTAAAATCAACACAAAAACACATTAGTTACTGTTCGCTCGCGAAGTTTTGATGCCTGCCAACTTTGTCAATCGGAAATATAAATATTGTCGATGATACTTTTGTGTTAGAAATCCTTTTTCGAAACTATATTCACAGCCTGTCATGAGTACTTATGTATAAGAAAAACTTCGAGAAGCTTTAGTGAGAATTGAACTCGGATCTTCGTGGGATAAAAGTTTTGCTTATAATTAAGATTATAAGCGTAGACTATATTTTAAAAAATTGTTACAAAGAATCTTTGAGACCTAAAAATATCAAAGAGTTTCTTTGTACATGGATATTATTATTATTTTTCCTGTCAATATTTCATAATCGTGACAGTTAATTTCTAAAAGTGCGTGGTGTGATCACAAAGCATGTGGTATAGCTGATTCTTTTCATAATATGACCATTCTAGAAAATTTCACCTCAAATGTTCCTGGCCGACCAGACATGCGCTGCCTCTTGCATATAAAAGAGTGAATGGATACGCCATATAGCAACATTTCGGGCATTGTATTTGGGGTATTTCAAGGTACGTTTCGGTTTCAAAATCTCTTAATAGCTAAATTACAATTTTTAAAACGCAATATCTATGTACATTTTTAGAGTCGTTACTTTTCGTGATTTTGAAGCGCAGGATTTTCCTTTTTTTTTCTCTCTTTTTCTTTTACTTTTCTTTTCTTTCTTTTTTTTTTTTTTTTTTTTTT